TCACACACAAAAAAAAAAAAAAATAATAATAATAATAATCAAATTTAAAAAAAAATGAAAAAACCGAAACTAGTAAAACCTCTCCCCAGAAATGGTAGAAACAAACACAAAAATCATAATCACATTCAGAAAAAAAAATGAACCCTACAAGCCCTAATTTGCAGCATGTTACACATAACAAAAGTGGTGGGCAAAATAAAGATGATGAACAAATAGACAGACGACGGCTTCAAGCACACGATTGACCTGGGAAATTCACGCTCTCAGGTAGATATGCTCGATTACGATATGCCTATTCAAATTAGGGCAATTGATACGCAAAATTAGGGAAAATGAGTTGAAGAGGTCAATTAGGTAAGCTCACCTCGCCGCCGGAGTGAGAATTGGGGGTGAAGTAGAGCTAGGGGGAACGAACGGGTCCCCGGAGGAGCTTATAGCTTCCTCCTTCATCGCCCTTTCTTCCTCTGTGTGTGTAGCTCGCGCTCTCTCTATCTAAATGCGCTGCTCTCTAAAACGTCACCGCTTTCCTCCTGTATTTGGGGTCGTTCACTCTCACGCAGTTTGTAAGTACATCAGTACATGACAATTCATTTTGCCTAACTAAATAATAAAAAAATGCCAAATAGTTAAATACGGCGTGTTTGGATACGAATTGTATATCGTCTCAAAATAATATTTAAAATAAAATAATTAAAGTTAACAGTATGATAGATATGATGTAGTTAGTTAAAATCTATTAATATAAAAAGGGAGGAATTTACTCAAATTAGTAAGTACATTTTAGCTTAAATTTTTAGAAAATACTATTAATTGTAACTTTTTTCAAAAAATTTGAAAATTGCACGACTGATTCTTTTAGAAAAAAATTGAAAATTGTAGTTTGGATTTAAATTTTGAAAGCGAGTGTAGTTAATTATAGTTAAAAGAATCCAACAGATTCTAACTTCCAAAATATTTTTTTTTTTTTGGCCAAAACGATAGATAATTTTATAAATCAAAATGCACAAATGTGCTAAAACACAGCAGCCAACGGCTGAATACACAGCAGCCAACAGCTGAAAAAGTGGGAGGACAGGTCAGAAGCCTGCCTAGAATCCCGACTAGCAACACTAGAATAAAAAACACACTCACAACTAAACTAACCAACAACACAAACAACTAGAACAACTACAAGGACCCCAACAGGGTAATACCCGAGTGTCGGACCCCAAAGGAGTAATCAATTTGACACTCGGGCTCACAGGGGCCAACGGCCCAAACCAAAAACACAAAACACAAACAACACAAGACAAACACAACCACAGATACTACAAACAATAGACAAGAACACAAATGACTAATAACCAAAACTAAAAGCCCTTCCCCGACAAACGAACTAGCCCAAACCAACAGTGTCCGATCGACAGAAGACAAATCCAGGCCAAGCCACTGCTACCGAAACTGCAATCAAGCCTATACAGTAGCGGAAACCAAGGCCCGAACCAATCTCCGAATCGACCCGTCTACAACCGAGCGAACAAACACCAGCCCCCACCCCAGCCCCACCCGAACCCGTCTAACACCACTAGCCGAGCTCGGGAGAGCCAGGACCCCCGCCGCCTAACACCACTAGCCGACCGGGAAGGGAAGAAGAGGTCCATTTCGCTACTCCGGCAACCACGGCGAAGGACTCGCTCCACCAAGACGCTGCCAAAGCCCCACCTCGCAACAAGCCCACACACCTCGCCACCGCCAACAGCCGCCGGCGACTTGAGGCCGAAATCCACCCGCAGCTCCACCGGAACAGGCGAAGCCAATCGGGAAGGACCCGTAGATCGCAGACCAGATACAGGTAGCCAGGGAACCTGCCGGCGACGACGACCACCTGCCGGCGACCGAAACGCTGACCATCCTCCGCCTAGGATCGAGCACCCGTCTGGAGCCACTGGTCGACCTGCCATCTCCGATCACCCGCAGCAGAAATCGAGGAGTGCCGGTCAGAAGCGGTGCGGGCCGTTGAAGACGACCATCGGCCGGAGCAGAGCAGCCGCCGGGGAAGGCCGACTGTCACGATTCTTGAAGTTGCGGCGGATGGATTTTGGGGGTTAGGGTTGCGGCTCTAGAGAATTGATGATGTGTTAACTTCCAAAATATTTGGAAATTGAAAAATTTAGTTTTAATTTGAATTTTGATAGCGTGTGTAATTAGTTAAAATTAAAATAATCCAACAGATTCTAAAATTAACCGCTAATGTATATCTTATGTAAATAAACTTCATTAAAAAAATAAAAAAATGGGTGGTAATTTAATTTAATATTATATCTTATATAATATATTTTATCTACGTTATAATCGAATATTTTAAGATATAATTAATATAATATTTTATTTAGTTAATTATTTATCTAATCAGATATATCTCATTAACAAACTTGCCAATTTTTTTAAATAAAAATGGTACAATTATTCTTATGGATATAATTACCAAAATATTAATTATTTTATAAACTTTTTAAAAATAAATTTGAATTATCATGTCCTTTACTTTATATGAAATTTAGAATTACATTTTTAAATATATTAATAAACATTTATTATTTATTTTTTTCTTATGTGAAATAATTTAAATTTGGTTCTTAGATTTATAAATTCAAACATTTAAATAAAAAGATTTCGAACAGATATTTTGGGTAAATTTTATCTTATCTTAACTTTCATATAGTTACATTCCTAACAAATTAATTAATTACAATATTTTAACTAATTAATTATTTATCTAACCTAATTGATCTCTTTAACAAACTTGCCAAATTTTTTTATATTAATATGGTATGATTATTCTTACAGATATACCTACAAAAATATTAAAATATTTTGGAAACATTTAAAATAAAATGAGTTATCCCGTCTTTTATTTTATTTGAAATTCAAAGTTATTTTCAAATATATTAATAAATATTTATTATTTATTTTTTTCTTACGTGATATAATCTAAATTTGGTTATTAGATTTTAAATTCAAACATTTAAAGGAAAAGATCACAAACAAATTTTTTAGGTACATTTCATTTTATCTTAACTTTCATATAATCATATTTCTAACAAACTAACTAATATAATTGTATTTATATAATAGAATTTTTTTAAATATAGTTATTATAATTTTTAACTAATTAATCTTTTGCCTAACCAGATTTATCTCATTAATAGACTTGCCAATTTGTTTAAAATTAAAATGGTAGATTATTCGTAAGGATATATTTACCAGAATATTAAACACTTTAAAAACATTTTGAAAACTAATTTAAATTATCTTTCCTTTCACTCAATTTGAAATTCAAAATTATAGTTTTAGATATATTAATAAACATTTATTATTTATTTTTCCCTATGTTAAAAATTAATGAAAGATTTTTGTTTATTGATTTTCCTATACGGGAGTTTTTGAAACATTTAATAAACACCTGTGTAGAATTTTCCTTATGTTAAAATAAAATTCTTTTCGAAAGCACAATTAATTTTTTCCTCAAACATTTAAAATTTCGATACGTTTATTGTTTCTAATGGGATGACGTAAGTTGAGATTTTCAACCCAATTTCAAATGTTATTTTGTCTAATTTGTTACTTTAATTATATAAAATTTGATAATTAAATATATGATGGGAATATGATTTTCTATTAATTGTTTGATATAAAAAATTATATAAGAAAGAAAAAAGATGATATGGGATAATATTAGAATTTCTCTTCTAATTTGATCAGTAATTTGACTAATGGTTGATCATTGAATAAATTGGTATGAAGTAATATTGAATTTGTGATATGAAAGTGCTTAAAAAATTAGATGATTTTAATGTGTAAAAATAAAATTAAAAAATAGCTTTACTTTAAAGTTTGGATTCTTTCCACTATTTTTTGTAAATTAACAATCATTGATTGGATAATTTTTTTTTTTTTTTCAAAAAAAAAAAATCAAAACTGCAAGGTTTAATAATATTCTTTAAATAAAAAAATATTGTGTAAAGAGAAGTGTTTAATAATATACATTTTTCATTGTTTGTATTTATTTTATTTCCATAATGAGATGGGATGTGAAAATTATAAATAATTATAATTAAAATAAAGTCTAAAAAAGATTTAAAATATGAGCTCCTCCGTGCATCGCACAGGATATGCACTAGTTAATTGAGTAGATGAATAGTGATTTAAAGTTCATGTGATGTGTAAGAATGATTGGTTAATATTATTTAGTTATATTGGTAATATTGAGGAAAGTGGAGTTCAGTTAAAGTTATATTTTGAGTATAAATTGAGTATGATTTGAAAATTTTTATAAACAAATAAATGCTCTTACATTAAAAAAATTATGAAAATAACATCATAAACTGTTAATTTATTTGCTTAAAAGGTGTTTAATTATTTCTCTATACTATTAAACCTAATTGAAACCTACAATTTTCCAATCCCATGGATAGTTTTTAGTTAGCACCTCCTTTGGGTCCTCGGTGTAGTCTATAAATATACCAAGTTCTCTTGAAGCTCCACATTCATATACACGCATAATTTCAAGGAATTTCTCAAGGAACTTGTCAGAAATCGAGAGGTATCCTGTTTGTCCTGTCCTTTAGACCGAGTAAGTTTGTAAATAGTCTGCGATAAAATTTTGAAATCGTAAGTTTTAATCCCAACTCTAGATCCTTTGCGTTAGGTTTAATTCCTTAGGAACTTTTTTATGCACATCGATCGACAATCTTCATTGAACCCACTATTATGATCTTTGATTGCATCAACAATTCGAATGAACAACTAATGAGACATTCAGTGTCTTCTACGAAACACGGTCTTGTAATACATTGGATTATTTGAAAAATATTCATTGTACAACCTACAATCAATAGCCTCTTGATCATGATTGATAAAAAGAAGATATGGTATTGTAGTGGCCACATCCCAACACTTTCATTCTATACACTAAACCTTTATTAAATCTAACTCTTGTAAGAATGTCGGTTCGTTCATCTTCTTATAACCACGATAAAGATATCCTTTTATGTCTAGTTTGTATGGAAATTTCACAGGACTCAATTATTAGGGTATACCAATCATTTGATCGATTTTGGTCTCGTATAGAAGAAGCTTTTAAACGAAGGAAGACTTGAGCATTGGGAGGTTCATAACAAGAGATCTATGCAACCATGAATTCAAACAAACAAGAAAACAACCAAGAGACTCCATGCATGTATAAAAACAGTAAAGCAAAAATGTTGTCTACACAAGATTTTACATTCAAATTTGGATGGGAATACGATCACGTTTGTGATATTATTAAAAACTTGAAAAAATATAAATTTGGTGCCACGAGGAGCAAAAAACAAATCTGGTCATTATCCCTCTTTGGAGTGAGAAAACCTAACTTGCGGTTCTGTCTAGCAAACATCCCAAAACATTCCTTCATTTTTTCTAAACTTAGACGATTCAGATCAATTTGCTAGTGGTTCTACATCTGAAAAACCTATTTAGGTGAAGAAAGGAAAACTGAAAAGAAAGTTGAATGGTGATTTATCATCGATCATAACACCATGAAGAAAGCAAACAATAAACTTCTTGAGGAGTTGAAAAAAACAAATGAACAATTGAAACACCAAATGAAAATGCAAAACAAATCTCAAACAAAATTATGTTTCAAGATGTCAATAATCATTACTAATAGTATGTCACCGACCCATCAGCGTCTTTTTTTGTTTACACCCCGAAACTCTTCCTTAGTCAGGCTTGAGCTGAATAGGCAAGCAAGTACAAATATTAGTAGCATAACTAAAATGTCTTCCTCGTCATTAATATGTTCGCTCGCAGCAATTGTGAACTCTCGGGAGAATCGATGACTGCATCTTTTATAAAAGATTCTAGAGTTCAAGCACATACTGAAGGAGAAAATGCATGACTTTTGGAGAAAAGAACGCAACAAGCTCAATTGAATCCATTTCCATTGGACACATTGGGACAATTTTTTCAGTAATTTGGGACGAAGTGATGATAGTTTGTCAGACTACTAAATATATGTTGTTAGTTTCACAATTTTTTATTTTTTTTTCGTACTTGTGTGTTATTTTTCATAGTTTATGGTGCATTTTTATTTCCACTAATTCTATGTGATCTTTTAGTTTGACAACTACTTTGATAATATTATGTCTTTTTTATATTTTAAATTTGTCGTTCCTTTAATATTAATTTGGTTTTGTAATTTTTTTTCTAAAATAATACTAATATTTTATAAAAAAAAATAACAAATATCCAATTTTATAAGCTAAAATTAATTACTAAATATAATATATATTCATAATAGATTTAAGTGTGTTAGAATATGATTAAAAATTATTTGGGCCTGGGTGAAATTTCTCCACGTCATAAAGGACATGATTGAATAACTATAAATTATTATTTATTGGCTCACATAGTTATAACTATAAATTTGTATTTTGCTATCACGTTATAATTAATTATTATTATTTATAAAAAAAATAAATAAATGTAATTTGACGGAATACATTTCTTATTCCACATTTTTTGTGCATTTAAAAAAGTTGTAATATAGGGTAAAAGTAAATAAAATGGCCGCGAAAACGAAACATAATCTGCAGAGTGGAGCCTTATCAATTATCATGCAAATGGCAACAATTGACAGGCAGAAGAATAGCCACACAAGCACAACCCAATACATACCACAACACATTTTTGAAGAGTCCATCTCATCTCCTCATCCCCTTATCACTCTTTTCTCAATTCCTTCTCCGTTCCCCTCTCTCTGAACATTTGTCAAATATCAAACAGCAATCTCGGCAAACTCTGCAGGTATATATTGATCATCTAATGCACATATATTGTTTGCAAGATATAGTATTATACTGAGATGGGTTTTTCAAGTACTCATGTTATGGTAATTTGTGGAATTTTCCAAGTCTCCAAGCTGGGATTTTTGTTTTTTTTTTTTTAAAGAAAGCTTTTATGAAGGAATAAAGAAGAGATATTGTATAAAGGTTGGTCTTTTTTGCTGTTTTATAGGGAATTCGAAACATTTAGTGGGTTTTGCATTTGATATACAGACAGCGCTTGGAGGTGTTAGTCTTGGAATGGTGAAGGATATTTAAGTGTTCTGAGAAATGGCTTCTTTAGCTTCCCTGGCTAATTTGGGAAGCGTGAATACAAATTCCCTCGGTAATTTTGACGGGTCTGTTTGTTTAGTCCGGAGCATATCTTTCCATAGAAATGCGACTAGTTTTAGAAGCCAGAGGTGGAGATATGTCGGCATGTGTAGATGTTCTGTGACAACCGATTTCATTCCCGAGCAAGCAACATCGGTGTCTCTTGATTCCACTAACAATGGTGGCAGTGAAAACACTGGTCCGGAAAATTTTCCTAAGGCGGCTCCTAAGCCGGTCTTGAGGTCGGGACCCAAACTCGACCCCATTCTCAGTTCGCCTTTGGATGAATCCAAGCGTAACAGGGAATCGAGCAGTGATAAAACGAATGGTGCGGATGAAAACAGAAGTAAGGTGATTGAGTCTCTAGGGGAGGTACTGGAGAAGGCCGAGAAGCTAGAGACGCACAAGAATTCGAATTTTTCGGTAAAAAAATCTTTGAGTGGTGATAAATCAGATGGAAATAATGGTAAACCATCTATTCCTGCAAATAACTTGAATAACATGCCTAAGACGAGGAGTGTCTGGCGTAAGGGTAATCCTGTAACGACAGTGCAGAACATTGTGAAGGAACCTTTTAAGCCTTCAATGACCGTGCAGAAAATCGTGAAGGAACCTATTAAGCAGGAAACAGACGTAGATAAGGGAAGGTTGGTTGGCTCTCAGCTTGTTGTTAATCCACCTCAGAAAATTGAACCAAAATTGCAAATGAGACCTTCAGTGGCTCCTCCTCCTCCTCCAACTTCTGTTAGAAAACCCGTCATCTTGAAGGATTTAAATGCGGCTGCTAAGCCGATTGTTGCTGATAGAGCTGATTCAGTCACGGAGCCTAAAGAAAGGAAGCCGATTTTAATCGACAAGTTTGCATCCAAGAAGCCGGTGGTTGAACCTTTGATTGCTCAAGCTGTTTCTGCTCCTCATAAGCTGGGCAGAGGTCCTGCACTTGGGAAGTTCAAGAACGAGTTCCGAAAAAAGAGTGAGCCATCAGGAGGACCTCGTAGGCGTATGCTTAAAGGTAATGATGATAATCCCGATGATGATTCATCTGAACATAATGCTTCAAGACCTGGGATGGCCAGAAAAGGACGAAAATGGTCTAAAGCGAGCCGGAAAGCGGCCAGGCTTCAGGCAGCCCGAGCTGCAGCCCCTGTTAAAGTGGAAATTATGGAAGTTGATGAAGATGGGATGTTTACAGAGGATTTGGCTTTCAATTTGGCCACCAGTGAAGGTGAAATTCTGGGGTATTTGGACTCTAAAGGAATTAGGCCTGTTTTGGTCCAGAAGCTGAGCAATGAAATGGTGAAGATGGTGTGCAGAGAGTATGGGGTGGAAGTCATTGATGCTGCCCCCGTGAGAATTGAAGAAATGGCCAAAAAGAAGGAAATTTTCGACGAGGAGGATCTGGATAAATTACGAGATAGGCCTCCTGTGTTAACGATAATGGGTCATGTTGATCATGGAAAGGTAATAAAAATAGGTCATTAAATCAGTTCTTTTATTTTTGTAATAATGGACTACCGTATCTATATAGGCTCCAGCTGACACTGAATTATGCTCTTGTGCAGACGACGCTTTTGGATTACATACGGAAAAGCAAGGTATATTATACAGCCTCGAGTTTTTGGATCTCACTAATGTGAATATATATTTGATTGCATGACGAGCTACACCATATTAGTTGAAGTATTATGTCATTTTGTTAAATTTAGTTGCTCCAGAAGTGAATTTCAGCTTCTATGATTATTAGGTGGCAGCATCTGAGGCTGGTGGGATTACACAAGGAATTGGGGCTTATAAGGTTCAAATACCTGTGGATGGAAAGCCTCAAACATGTGTCTTTCTTGATACTCCAGGACATGAGGTATTTTTCTACCCTACCTCCCGGTAGTGTATATGCTATTACACATGCCTTGATATTTCTACAGCACATTGACAAGAATGTCATAAGATTATGTGTTGAAGCTATTTTCATAGTACTCAATTTTTGAAATTTTTTTGTAGGCATTTGGAGCCATGAGAGCTCGTGGAGCGAGAGTAACGGATATAGCTGTGATTGTAGTTGCAGCTGATGACGGAATTAGACCCCAAACAAGTGAAGCTATTGCTCATGCCAAAGCTGCAGGAGTTCCAATTATTGTGGCTATAAATAAGGCAATTTGATAGTGATGCACGCCTTTTATTGCATTTAGAATGCTAACATGCTCTTCCAAATACTTTTTATGTGTTATAATAATATCGATGGTACAACTTTGCATTAAAAAATGGATTTTTTGGATGTATTTAATTTGCAAGGTTCAAAAATTATCAAGACTATATTATTAAAGTCCATAGTTAGTTAAGTCCATTTAATTATAAGGAATTATATGCATTAGTATTACATTGCTAAATTTCTTGGTTGTTTTTGAGGGTGTTTAATCTGTTTATTCATTTGTACATCATTGTAGATAGACATGGACGGAGCTAATCCAGATAAAGTCTTACAAGATCTGTCTTCAATTGGTTTGATGCCTGAAGACTGGGGTGGTGACATCCCAATGGTTAAGGTAACAAAACCGAGTTGTAGAGTTCTATGCTCATATCTCCCCAAAAAGAAAAAAAAAAATACATATTTTAATTTTGCTTTCCGAGATGCTAAAGTGAATACGCAACAATTTTTAACAGATAAGTGCTCTTAAGGGGGAGAACGTTGATGAGTTGCTGGAAACCATCATGCTCGTAGCTGAGGTAATTACTGCTTTTTTTTTTCCTTATTTAAAAACAAAAATGTTCATATTTGAATTCGAATATAGATTTTTATTCTGAACTTGGGTTAATTTCCAATTCAAGTTACAAGAACTGAAGGCTAATCCAGATAGGAATGCTAAAGGAACAGTCATTGAAGCTGGACTTGATAAATCCAAGGGACCTTTAGCTACATTCATTGTGCAAAATGGAACACTCAAAAGAGGAGACATAGTTGTTTGTGGTGAAGCTTTTGGAAAGGTTTGTATGTGAAACTGATCGTCTTTCGAGAATCTTCTATTAGGGTTTTCTTGACTTTTCAGGACGTCTCATCTGTGGTATTAGGTACGAGCATTATTTGATGATCAAGGGAAGCAGGTTCAAGAAGCAGGACCATCTATCCCTGTGCAGGTATTTTGCTATCTATGTGTGTACTCTAAAATTGTGAACTTTTTTCATTGTAAGTTATGATATTATGGGGCATTATAATTGAACTGTATGTACATTGTGCAATTTTAATTAACATATTTTTGGTGCTTCCATTTTTATGCCTCTTTGGAACTTTACTTCTGATCTCCGACAAGTATTTATATACTATGTGCTGCACTGGGTTCACCGAGTAGACTATGCATTTGTGGCTGCTCTAATTCCGATGGGCGAAGCTGATATGTTCGAGATAATTTAGTTGTGGGGACCATAAAGAATCAGAATTTACTATACTGGGCCTATGTTTACTATATACCCAACACCATCTTTGGTTAATTTATGGATGCCTTGCTTCCTCGTATAGCATATATAAAATGAATTTGGATGCAATTTTTCTTTTTCTGTAACTCTTTTGTTTTTTCAGTTTCTTTTTCTGTTAATTGATTATCTTCTGAAGAAATTGTTTAGTTCTTTTGAAAATAAAACCACACATTGCAACTTCAACTCCTCCGTTGTATTTAATCAATAGGCTGAAACTTTTTTTAAGCAAAAGCTTGTGGACAGAGGGGTACTTAGCAGATAATTTGATAAAATCGCATGTCATGCGAGTAAAAGGTGTTACTCGTTTTGGGACATTCATGCCATTTGAAGATGTATCATTCGCAAGAAAATTTTTAAATTATCCATTGTATTTTTACTTCTAGCTTGACGGACTCCAAGATTTTGTCACTAGAATTCACACTCCTCCACTTTACTCTCTACATGAACAGATAATCTGTCCTGATTTTCTTTCCAAAGTTTGAACATTGGAAACTATTTTCTATTTCTTGATAATTATAGTCTGTGCTTGACAGGTCATTGGATTGAATAATGTCCCTTTAGCTGGTGATGAATTCGAGATTGTTGATTCTCTTGATATAGCTCGAGAAAAAGCCGAGTCGCGTGCTGAGTATTTGCGGAATGAGCGTATTACAGCAAAAGCAGGGGATGCAAAGGTTACACTTTCTGCTTTAGCATCTGCCATGTCAGCTGGAAAGAATGCTGGTTTAGATCTTCATCAGCTTAATATGATATTGAAGGTTGATGTTCAGGTATGAGGTGCATATTGGAAATGAATGGGCTTAGGATAGTGTGACTTATTTTGTTTATCAATATTATTAACTGAAGTTTTGGATCCTATTATTTGGTTTCCTCTACAAAAGCACTTGAGTTAGAACAGAGGTATTTGAAAGCTAAAATACAATACATGTTCAATGTTACCTGCACAAGTTTAAAATTCTTAACTTAGTACCAATAGATTCATTATTTTCAATTGAGTTTCATATTTAAATTCATGGCTAGGGATCCATTGAGGCTGTCAAACAAGCTCTTCAGGTACTTCCACAAGAAAACATCACACTGAAGTTCCTACTGCAAGCAACTGGGGACGTGAGCATCAGTGATGTTGACCTTGCAGTGGCAAGCAAAGCCATAATCTTTGGTTTTAATGTAAGAACACCAGGTTCAGTCAAGATCTATGCAGATAACAAAGGTGTTGAAATCAGGTTGTATAAAGTTATCTATGAGCTTATTGATGATGTCCGAAATGCAATGGAAGGCCTCTTGGATTCAGTTGAGGTGAACACGCCTGCTTTTCATTTGAATTAATTGAAAATTTACCTTTTCCTTGATAATAAATAGATAAATTTACATATTTGGTTGTGGTTTTTACTCTGTATTTTATTCTGTAAGGCTTCATTTTGTTATGCAGGAACAAATTCCAATTGGGTCAGCAGAAGTTAGGGCCGTATTTAGTAGCGGTAGTGGCCGTGTTGCTGGATGCATGGTGACAGAAGGCAAAATAGTGAAAGACTGTGGAATTCGTGTGCTAAGAAAAGGCAAAGAAGTTCATGTTGGTGTGCTTAGTTCATTAAGACGTGTGAAGGAAATAGTGAAAGAGGTAAAATTTTGAAAGTTCCTTTCATTCTTAGTAAGCCTACCATTGAATAGCAGGAAATTTCTACATTCTCCATACATTATTAGGAAAAATCGACTTTTGCAAGCCAAGGAAAGGAGTATTTGTTTGTTTTTCTTTTTCTTTATGTTTCTTTCTGTCATAAGCGATATGTGAGCAAGTTTGGTACCTCAAAAAACTTTTTGTCCTAATATGATCAGCTTATTTTACGAAACTGCAGGTAAATGCTGGGCTAGAGTGTGGAATAGGATTAGAGGAATTCGATGATTGGGAGGAAGGGGATAGTATTGTGGCCTTTAACTCTGTGCAGAAGAGAAGAACACTCGAAGAGGCCTCAGCTTCAATGTCAGCCGCACTCGAAAAAGTTAGGATGCGACTTTGAGAAAGAAAAAAAGATAAATCATTCGACATATTTTCATGGGCCGCCTTTTTACACATTGATGCTCATTTTCTATCAACTATACGCGCCACCTTTACACACTGATTCGACTTGTGGCATATGGTGCAGATGAGTGTTTGGCAGTAAAAACTGCGGATTAGCGCCCTTTATTGTATGCTATTTCGTTGTAAATAGTCATATATATGTATATCCAGATAAGCTCCATTTTGTGAAGAGGGATAAGTTGAGCATTCTTAAGAAACTCAATGATTGTAACAGGTGACAGATTGTTTTAACATAAACGTACAATCTCTCAATTTTTGCGGGATCAATTGTATTCGACCTTAAAGTGGTGATGTGTCGGTAAAAAGACTACTCTGATATTGTTGTATGTAAACTATGTTTCTTTATGGAGTTCTATTTATGACGTTCGGCGTTTTCTTATTTACGTGCTCGTGAAGTTGTCTGATGTAAGTTTATATTTGCTAGCTTCTTTTTCAAACAATCACGCACTATACTGCTAGACCTTTAACTTCATGTTCTACAACTAGTGATAAGTGGTCTAAATGTCAAAAGATCTGTTTTTATAGTGTATGAAAAATGGAAAAAATTTATTCTTCCTTTTGATTTCATCCAATGTAGGATCACAGTAATTTTCAATAAAGAAAATGAAAATATATATTAAAGATTGGGAATGCATCTGTCATCCAATGCATTTATTCATGAATCAGTTTACAGACTAAACAATTCTGATATTCTTCCAGATACAAAATCATCTCTGCTAAAAACACGAAAAGTGAAATGCATCTGTCTGTTTCGGTTGGTGTTGATTCGAATACTTGCAAGTTTTGTGAGCTTAGAGTTTATCGTGATCTCAAGCAGAAGCTCTCATAGATTTTAGCTCCCAGTGAATAAAAAATAAAAAATTAAAATGAAGTCTTAGGCGCGTACGGATTTTTCGGATAAATTGAGTATATAAATCAATTTCAAGCGTTTCGTTACTGTATTGTCCAAATGATGCATACCTAACCAAGTTATAACCAAAGGTTATGAAAATTATGACCAACTTAGGTTTAGTAGAGTGGTTTTCATTGCATGATCTCATGCTAAGGACCATACAAAATATATTTCAAGAAAATGTATCCTTATTTGATCAAAATGAAAGGTCAACACAAAATTGCATTACAAAACTCAATCACCCCTGATAAAAGGTGGTGGTAAAGACTAAAGACTAAAGAAAACTGATCTCATCATCACTGCCCATAAAATGCAGGCTCTGACTATAAAAATCTTTGCTCACTGAAAATTGAAAACAAAGGAAAAGGGAAAACTCGTGGCCTTCGACTTTATTATTTGCATGGATGAATGCAGAAAACTAGAAAGGGATTATTAAAAACCCATATCACTCGAAAGGCGAGACTTGGCCTCGATCATATCCCTCCCCATCGATCATTTTTCTTGATGATGGCGAAAAAGCTGCCGAATAAGCCTTTTCTTCATCAATGGTGTCGAGAGTTTTGATAGGTGGACGCTTGTTCAGTGAGATAAACCTTTGAGGAGCTACTTCTGTTGAGAACCGCAGTTTTGGAAATTTAGCCATTTGTGCTTTTGAAAATAATTGCTAAGCTCTCTCTTAATTAATCAGATATGTTATGGGATAGAAGAAAGAAATTAAACCTTTTTTCACTCTGTGTGTCTGTTGTAAGAAGAATACAGCTTTGGTAGGTATATTTATATATAGAGGCTGAAGAATAAAGTAGTCTCAATCAAAGAAAACGAGTCCATACGCCGCTGCCTTTTGAATAGTTTAAAATCGTACGAAAGCAGTGTCCTGTTTTTTTCGTATTTAATGCAGAAAAGTTGTTTTGTGGATGGTAATGGAAAGAGAAGGTGATTGGAAGCATCATCAACAGCTGTGTATAGTTCATAGTTTTCTTGAAATTGGGACCACAAAATCTCGACAAGATATTCCTCGACTTGAGCATTTGCAGCCCTTGGCTGAATTTTGCTTTTCCACAAAATGGAGATGTGAAATGCGAACAAAAAAAAAAAAAAAAAAAAANAAAAAAAAAAAAAAAAAAATGGTTAACAGAGAAAATATTGGCATGAAAACAAAAGATAACAAAGACGAAGCCACGTGAAGATATTAATTTCTGGGCCCGGAGTCATTTTGGGTTTCCTTGTTGAGAGGTAACTAGTTTTCTGCATCAGAAGTTTCCATGTCATATATGAGTAGAAACAAAAGTCTGCGTATTCAATTGAAATATCGCTTTCTGCTAACAATGATTTGCTCGTGGAGAAATGCAAAAGCAATTCGTGCACGATATGATTCTCTAACAGTTTAAGTGATTCTATAAACTGCTCAAAAAAAAAAATGATTCTCTTCCACAAATCACTATTCTTAGTTTTCTTCTTCTGAGAGTAGAGTTTGCAGGCAAAAATATGGATTTAAGTTACAGACAACATGCATAATGTCTAATGTTGATCGTTTTTGCAGAAATTCCTTAGTTTGCAACAAGTAAACAGTCTTAGCTCAGTTTTCTAACTACTAATGTACCCTATTTAATTTTCCTTTTAAACCACTGACTTGAAGCTTCTCGATGGTTCACTGTTTGTGCGGAAACGAACAATATCCCGATGACCATTTTCGACATTTTTCAGCACCTCAGCCTTTTATCATAGGGAATGTAACTTTCCTACAAGATTTGGCCTCAAAACTGGTGACTAGAAACTGGAAAGCATTCTTTGAGCCGGAAATGTTTCACGTAATCGAAAAACGGAACATCTAAAGGGGAACAGAACAAAAGTATTCGAATTTTCGAGGAAATAGGCATGTGATGTGAAGAGATCAAAAGCTGGTCCCCCCAAGTATTCTGGTTTGCCTTGTTGAGAGGCAATGGTCTTTTCGCATGGAAATTTTTCATGCTGTACTCAGAGATGTATATTGATTATTAATATGGACGGCAACATTTGTACTGTGGCATGTACCTGAAGATAATGTGGTATGTGTACTTGAAGTGTATTTGTTAAGCACCGTAAACTAGCTTATTTGATTAGTTTATAAGCTTTTTATATTCAAATAAGTTTTGTTAGGTAAACACGAGTTTTCTTTAAAAAGTTCGAGCTTATTTCATAAGCTTGTTTGAGTAATTTTTCGAATATACCAGCTAATTTTACCAAACACATTTATCATATAAGTTAGATTTTCAACAATAAACCATAAGCGCTATAATTTCGAAATTCATTTAAGCTATGTTTGGTAAACTTAGTTGATAAGCTAATTGATAATTTAGCTAATAGCTTATAAGTGGATTTCAAACTTATAGCTGCTAATAATCTATGACTTATGGCTGAAAACCAAGCTTATATGATAAAAATGTTTGATAAAAAATATTGCGCCACAACTTACACAATTTCTGACTAATACATAAATCAGCACTTTGGTATTCAAAGTCAAATTTCCCTCTTTTTTCAGTTGGTTACAAAAGATAGCACTCGAGTTGGCGGCTGGCATAAGGGAGTGAGTGCATGCAAACTCCAAAAGAAAGAAAGGGATTCTCACATTCTACGTGATTTTTCAAAAATCTGAGAATCACCATTTTTATTTGTATCTTTATCTTCTTTGAGTTTGCAGACACTCTCTGTTCACAATCCTGAACATGAATATTAAGGGTAATTATATATAATTACATTACACTATTGTTTCCAATATATGGTCAATATGTATAATGCTCTATACGAACTTCAAAACTTCACACGAGCCCAGTTGTTATAATGGGAGGGCCGACCTGAGTTGAAAAGAAAATATAGTTTAGTAACCATCATATGCTTCAGAAATCATCCTGCCCATAATTATAATATATATATTCGGTAAAAAAATCTATCCGGAGTTTGAGCTTGATCACGAAAGTTATTTTCGTAATTACACAGAAGCCCAAGAAAATATTTTTGTGATTTTGAACGATGACTGAGTTTTTCAGTAACTAAACTGAAGCCCGAAAATATATTTTTGTAAGCAGTTACATACCGGAAACTTCCTACTGCTTCCCATGCTCTTTGCAGTAAACTAATATCTGGCGTTAGAGGTTCTAAGGCGAACTTTTCCATACTCTGCTCAATTGAAGGGCCGATTTCATTTACAAGTTTGACAGATTCGGACAATCGATTAAGCAAGTTCACCAAGGCAATCACTTCATTTCTTTGCAGTTCCAGCTGAAAGGAGGAATAAAACTGGAATGAGAATTTACTGGATATAGAAGAATCTATCTAGTCTTTAGTAACATCAACCGAGGACTTTTAAGTAAGACTTACAGGTTCATTTGGATAGCTTTTACCGTCGACTGAGAAGAGAATCTTAAGTGCAGTTCCAAGGCCAAGCACTTGAAGTTTTCCCCAAAGCCGGCATTTTTCACATCCAACACAATCCATTAGAGCACTGCAAATTTGGAGTTCAATTTTTATAAAGATCGAGCATATGTGCAACAAAGTCACAAATTGCATGGTTATTATCCTACAAATGTAAAAAAATGTGTAAATGAATTGAACATTTCTATTCAGTTTCTATAACTATCTTTTGATCATATGAATTTCCAAAGCTCATCTAACTACATGCCACTGTACGCCGAAGAAAGATATGAGCAAGACTTTTTTCTTGAGGAAATGGGATAACAGAAAAGTTTATTTTTTGTCTAAGCTCGTGAAAAAACCTGATGTTCCTGAACTGCTTCTGAATCTCCAGCTTAAGCTCAGGCCCACCTTTTCCTTGCCACAATTGAGCTTCATCAAAAGGAAGTGGACAAGCAGAGTGCAGTTTTGGATTGTCGAGCAACTGTCGCATTAAAGACTGCGCTTTAAGGTCCTCGTTAATGTTTCCAGTATCATATTCGGCTTGCTCCAAGTAATTTGCAGCCTGAATGAACATTATTTGTAATTTAACGGATAAGTCAAATGTGTCACTTAGAACTGCTACATTTAAATAATACAGAAAGGCTCACTTTTGTTACGGCTCGCAGAACAAACATGAAAGTGAAGTATAAGTTCCTCACTCGATCAGGATACCTCAGAACACGATTGTACATTAATTCTGGATTTCTACCCCACTGGAATTTGCAACAACACAATCAGTTTTATGTTTGTCTAAGCTTCAGCATGATAATCATTCTCAATTATGGGTAGTTTTTCATAAAATGCTGTAGCTTAAATTTACACAATTCAAATGACTTTGGAATGACTACAGAATTGAAGAAGAATATAATGTGAAACACGAAATTAAGAATAGGGTCCAATAAAAGGGGCATACCAGATTTTTAGCTTCATCAAGCAAGTAGTCAGAGGCAATGTGAATTGAAATTGAGGAATGCAGGCCGGAAATTAACTTGTACAGGACTCTTTTCTCCTGACAAATCTCTCCCGATGAATCTAGAAACCACCCAAAAAGAAAAAAAATTAAAAAACAAAAATATGAGGCTACTTTCAAATACTCAACTAGGAGATCTTTTATTTATTTATTTTTGTGCATAAATCATTTTTTGATTAATCTAAATAGAGTATACAGCAAAAGATTGAAGGCATAAATTCATAATGAACCATGCAGATTCTTATTAAAGACAAGATAATGATATCAGTTTTAGAAAAGTATATCCACCTTCGGCACAACAAAGAAAAAAAGAAAAAGGTAACATTCGACCTCAACTTGTGAGGATTCTAATGAGCATTTTATCGATATCGAAAGCTTAGATAGGAAACACTATGGACGTAAAGTGGAGAGCTTACACTTTTGACAATTTTCAGAATACACAGCATCCCATATCCTTCGAGCTGATGGCCCTGTATATCCAGTATATCGTTCAGGATTTAGTAGGAGGTTTACATATGTCATCTCACCTGAAATTTAGACAAACATAATTAAAACATTAACTGACAAAATAATATGAGTATTTTTAAAAAAAAAAAGTTGAACATGAAAGAAACAAGTCATCTTCGAGAAAAAAAATGATTGTGGTATATGCAGTGTGAGAAAAAGATAAAAGTACTTACTATTATCAGTCTCATCCTCATGAGTCCAAGGATTGTCCACTTCAATCCAGCCCCTAAAGACCTTTGAATCTAGAGTGCGATCAACAGTAGCCTGTGGCTTTCCTTTTTGGCATATTAAATCATTAGATCCAAGAACACGTGGCATTGGCTTCTTAAAAAGTTCTGGAAATTCATTTTCCGGGCATTCACAGACACTACAGTCCCGCAACTTGCACATACCATCATCGGGCCAAAAAGGACAATCACACCACAACTTAACCTGGAATGTTCAATAAGTTACATGGGATTGGAGGAGTCAAACTGCAAGTTCCTTCGTAAAGATTTTTACAAACCCATAGATCAGTTGTTATATCTATATCCTATGAAATTTATAAAAAAATGATCTCGATCCTGTTTCCAGGTTCACTAACATGCTGAAATCCCAGTTGGGAAAATGAGGGATTATCTTATGAACATAATTTTCTTTATCCTGTAGTTGTAACAATGTTATGAGAACCACACCATTTATTATTCAAGAATACACAATAATGATGAAGTAAACTAATAGGTAAACAAATTTATACAACCCAAAAATTTGAGCTTCCTAGAAACAACAAAACTATTCATATTGATTCTGATGAACATACTCCTGACATAGCTCGTGTTAACTGAAACTTTAAGCTAATGATTAATTATAGTGATCGATTCAGCTGGAAGTAATAGGACACATATGCAAATTAGTTTGGTAAGCATAATATATTACATGAGGTCAGAATCAGTTATAACACCTGAAAAATCTGTAATTTGAAAGACATGATATATGCTTGTTTGCAACTGCTATTTGATCACACAAGTCTTTCCCAAAAACAAATTATGACACTGAGAGAAAAATTATTCTACATTGCTCCCCTTAAATAATAATATACGAAGTTGATGCAAACGACTGCATTTTGACAGCAAACCCATAGTTTGAACGGAATTATTTAAAGTCACTGTGCTCCACGGCTGTAACTTGCGTAAACTGGACAAATGCATTGGAACAAACTAAATTTGACACAAGCATAGTATACAATACTCCAAAAAAATTGACCGAGTAGATTCATGACTGACCTTAAAGTATCGGAAAAATGGAGTCTTAACAAGATCTTGAAGTAAGGGATACAATACTGCCCCATTAAGACTGTCAACTGTCTCATAATCACAACAGCAGTCCTCAACAATGCCTGTATATTTTCTAGAATCCTGTATAAGAAACCAAGAAAAGCATGAGGAACTTTGTTTCTACTGACCTATAGACCAGATAAAAACAATGGTTTCTGTCAAACTGAAAACATCGGGGAAATTAAATTAATAATCCTATATGTCACACTTCAAGAATCCAGGACACCAATATTTTCTTACATCAGAAAACAAATATACAAAATGCACAGCAAACAATGTATCACTATCCCCAAGCACAAAGTCCTAGAAACAACCCAAAAAAAAAAATATTAAACAAGATCATAGTTACAAATACTCTAGAGACAAGAACAAGAAAGGAAAAACAAAACCTGAGAACATGAGCAGGACTTCTGATTCTGGGCGTGCCTAGATGTCATCGCTATGGCAACCACCACCACCAAGACTGCACCCAACTTAGCCCATTTCCATTTTTTGCCCTCTTTTGATTTCTTCCAATTATCCTTGCCATCTGCGACAGCCTTGGCCTCCACCATCACCGCCAGACCTAGACAGCTCCAGAAATGTACGTATTCGTCAGAAACCCCAACAACCCACAAAACCCATCAAGAAAAATCGCCTATAGACAGGGGAAATGCGGATTGTAATCCTGTTATGTGTGATTAAGGCGGGGCCATTTTATAGTATGGCGGAGATTTCGGAAAAATTGCGAGATTATGGGAAGAAAAGAATCGGGCTCGGTCAAAGCTGAACACGAAATGGGAATTTAGATGGGGCCGACGGCGCGTTGTGATCAGACGCGGACGACCGGAGGACGTGGCGAATTGTGTCGGCGCGTTGATCGCCCGCTTCGGATGAGTCGGGTCGGGAAGAAAGGAGACTGTAGGGTCGGTGACGAAATGACGCGCCAGCATTTTGAGTTAAGTGACGCTGGCGTAGCCAATAGGAACTCTCTATTTTGCCATGTAGACTTTTTGATTATTTATATAACATCTCCAATGATCAATGTTGTGGTGACAAATTACATTTCACATCAACACATTTATTAATATCACAACTTTCCATCCTTCAATGTACAATTTGATAACAAATATTGTGATGATGTGGACATAATTAATGTCTACAATGTAGACAAGAATGTGGTTTATCCACATTCTCCTCTCCACACTCTAGAGCATAATTTAATTGTTTAATCAATTTTATTAATTCATATTAAAATTTAATATTTGGTAAGTATATAATATGGTAATTAGACTACATTGTGCATTGAAGATGATTTTTTAATTTAATAGTTGTGAACTCAACATTTATCCTACATGGTTCACAATCTATTTAATTTTTTGACATTTGTCAAAATTTATCCTACAACAACATTAGAGCATTGGAGATGGACTGTTGAGTCCAAAAATATGTGCCATCTTTATTTTTTTCTCTCCAATGTTCTCACCAAAGGCAAAATCGTGCGGAGAAGGTTAAGGGTACCCAAAGCGGACAATATCTTATTACGGGTTAAGATGGTGGGCTGTTACAATGATATCAGAGGCAGTACCCCGGGCCATGTGCCAGCGAGGACACTGGGCCCCTGTGAGGGGTGGATCTAGATATCCCACATCGGTGAAGGAAAATGGCTGTGGATACCCTCACTAGCTAGCTCCCAAAGGCAAAACCGCATATTACTAAAAGAATTAACTACCTACCATTTAACATTTAAGTCATATTTTTATGTTATCGCGATATTACTAATAAATAAAAAGGTATTTACGAAATACTCTTATGTAAAATAATATTTATACTCTTTATATTATGTAAAATAATATTTATTACATATATTGCATATATATAATACTATTTGTTTAATCGATTAATTTAATCATGATCATATGTTTTAGATTTTTCAACATGTAGAAAATGAATCAAAAAATATTCTACAAACATGTTGTTATTTATTTATATATTTATTATAAATAATGTGTGTGTTATTTATATATTTATTATCAAGTACAAACGTCTCATAATTTTAACTATTTGTATTAAAAAAATGAGTCACAACTGATGAATACATGTCAAATCATTAAATCATGGGTCTTTGTTGATTATCGGTAAACTAATTAAATAAATATTAGTTGATATATTAAATCATTTATTAGTTAAATTTAATTTTAAATAGTCAAGACATTGAGTCTAAAGAAGTGCATTGAAGTTGGTTCCAAATTTTATGTCAATGTCAAGTACATTCATTTAACATCCAGTAGACAGTACCAATTATATTATGCCATGTGACATCAATTTTTTAATGTCAATGGTAGAGCACTAGAGATGCTCTTATTTTGTTTGGGGAATATAATAGTTTACTATGCAATTTCATTCAACTAGTACGAACCCGTGCGATGCACTGACAAGAAATATTTGTTACTATTTATAAATTAAAAGTTCTCATTAAATAATAGATAAGTATATTTGATAATATTTTTTCATATTCGCATTAACTTATGGTGAATATTGGAATGACATATTGTCATGTAAAATAAAGATCAAATTTTCTATATTTTGGTTGTATTGATGCGTTATTTGAGTTAAAATTATTCTTACTAAAAATTAAATATTCTATTTGCCTAAATTAAATGTCATAAAAATATGTTATGGATGTTTCAAAATAAAATATTTGCTCCTATTGCAAATTTGTTAAATATATTTTGGACGTAAACAAGAATAGGATGTTACCAAAAATACAGATTATCCTGTTATATTTACCAAAAATATAGTCTAATTTTAAAAATCGAGTTTTCTATGTAATAGATAAGTATATTATTTTTAAAGTATAGTGAGAATCAGGTTTCACCAAAATTGTGTGGGAAATGAGATCGTTCAACAAATCATTGAAAAAGGTGCATCGATAATTTTACCAAGAAAATTAAATTGAATTTTTTTCACCAAATGATTGGAGAAAGTGGTTAAGAAAAAGAAAAAGGATAAGTTAACATCGATTATTAAAACATGAACCCATTTTTTCCTAAAAGATGTATATGAAATTGATTTGCTTTTTTTTTTCTAATATCATGGGTTTTTAAAAACATTTCTTATAATAATAAGTCAAATATTTAATTAAAAAGTCAAAGTTACTATTTATGTATTTTTTCAACAATATTTTTATATTCGATATCCGTGCACTACAGGGCTATTCAAATATATTGGTATTTGTACAATAAAAGAAATTAAAATAACTTATATTTTCATTTTGAATTTTTTTATAAATGAATATACAATAGTAATAAATAACTAACAAAGTGATAATAAATTTAAAATGATGCTCGTCTTTTTATACTAAATTTGTTAAACATGAAATTTTTTAATTATATTTTTAAAATTTTATATACCTAAAACATATATTATTTACAACTCTATATATTTGATTCAAAAATTTTTTAAAGCAAAATTTTATTTTATTGCGATTATATTTTATATTTATAGAGTTGGTGTCTCTTGTTTATTATTTATTCAAGTATTTTAAATTTATGTAATTTAGTAATTTAGAATATTAATTTACGCATACTCACACACTCCGGTTGTGAATCGTAACTTCGTCCCCCACACAACACACACTCGATCGACAAGCAATGAGTTTGCCACCTAAATTCCCTCGCAAGGGTTGCACCTCCTTACTAGGTTCGTTCACTTTTATTCCTTGTAATTATTACCAGAAAGAGAACAATTAGATACTAATTTGAGTAGTTAATAAGAATTATCTCGATTTGAGATTTTAGGATTTCAGTTGAAAATAAAATAAAATTTTTAATCCAAATTGCATATATAATTCTGAGTACCTGGACATCAATTATGTATTACAATAATCGATAACCGAACTATACTGATCGTTATTTTGGTTAAAAATCGAATCGAACCATAAATTTCGGTTTGGTTTTAGATTTATGTAATGGATAAACTTCGGCCGATTCTGTCCGGTTTCAACCGAATGTGCACCCCTGAATTCCATACCAAGCTGTAGGACAATTTTTCCAATGTCAATGCATGCAGTCCAAACTTCCAAACATAACAGAAAATCTCCGACCCTCACCTTCATTGAGCAAGAACTGAATATCTTTTTCATTTAGTTTTCTCAAATAGTACCCTAAAAAAATATAAATTATAGCACCACAGAAATATTTGCGACTCTCAAACGCCATACTCTTTTCAATTTGAACATATTCATCAAGTGAATCAACTGCACATCCATATGCAAGCACACGCATGGCCGATGTCATTTTTTTTGTAGCGAACTAAGTCCATAATTACCAATGACATCAATCTTTCGTGTGAAATAATTGTCAAATTTTTTATTTTCATCTAAAATACGTTTAAACAAGCTTATATCTATTCAGAATCGGCGGCGAAATTGCTCAGGTGTATACTTTGATCTCTCGCCGCTAAAGTAATCGCTGATTATTAAATCATGTCGTTCTTTTCTTTCACGTCGAATGCAACTTCTATCAAGCTTTGGATTTCTATGTATGTCTTTTGCAAACAAAAGAGAAACCTGAAGTATGGTTTGAAGAATACTATGGGTCAGAGTTGTGTTCGAACAATCTTCGTTGTTGGGTTTATCCAATAGTTTTCTTGTAATCATAAACTTGTGAGTTGTGTTCGAACAATCTTCGTTGCTGGGTTTATCCAATAGTTTTCTTGTAATCATAAACTTGTTGTCGCTTGAGGATGAGCTAGTAGAATCTGAATCATAATTTATGGTAGGCATTACTTATGCCTCGCCTAAAATAAAAATATAAAAAATTAGTGATGGTAAAGAAATATAATAAATGGACATTACTAGTTTATGACGGCTTACTAAATCAAACTATATGACAGAATGGATGAAAAATAAATTATAGACTACTTTAATTCTACATTTGTGGAGTTTAGAGACTTGGTTAGAAATAAATCCAAACATTTTTTCGTGGCTCATTATCTCAAGGAGTGCCTATTTTCCATTTGAAATATCATCGAACACCTTACATATAAATCAAAGTCATTTATTAAATTAATTTCTCTCAACTTCATAATATACCAATATTGTGTCAAATATGTGGACTTTGTGCTTTAAGATAATGGCATAGACGATGTTTTTTCTTGACACGGGTTAAAATTGATTTGGTCAGGGCGTAGCCAGAAATATTTTTGACCTGGGACTGCATATTATTGTAGCTATTATTGAAACTGAGTAGACATGGTCACGGGCCGACCCAGCCTGTCGGTTCGGGCTGAACTGACACAAACCGACCCGTTGACCATGGGTCTTGAACCGGCCCATAGTTTTGACCAGTTCGATTCATGTACAATACTTCATAAGTTATACATTTTGAACCGGCAGTTTCGATTCCGAACTAGAACTGGAACCCGAGGTTCGGCTATTTTAAAAAAAATATATATCATTTTTTAATTAGTTTTTATTTTTTTTAATGAACCGGACGATCAATTACCCACAGTTCAATGAACTGGCCCGTGCATATATTCGCACTGGTTCAGGGTCCTCCAACTCTCGGCCCGGGATCGGCAATTTCGACTTGTAACCGGTTTTGGTGATCATGACGAGAATCAAATTATCTGATAACATATGTCGGTTTGAATTGGGAAAACTCAATCTCGACTAGTTTATATATTTAAACAAGCCAAAACTAACTAGCTAATCGAACTTGTTGATCAAACAAATAGAGTCGAGCATGTTTAAACTCAACTCTGTAAGAGTTTTTTCTTTGTATAGGAAATGAGGCTGAATTAATTATTGGAGGTGAAATCAGTAAAAAAAAAAAATAATAAATGAAAATGGATAACAGACTGTGCAATGAGATGAACCCACTTAAATAGCCTGCAGGAAAAGTGTGTGTGGAGCTTAACTATCCAGCTCATTTGGTACTTGTCAAGTCAA